TATATATATATATATATATATATATATATAAAGTCTACTGTGGTTTGGATTTTTACACTTGGCAGCACTTTCTGCATCATTGTCTGCCATAATTCATGAGGGTAATAGTTAGCATGCCAAAACGTCAACATTGTCGGTTTTTCAGCAACTATGCCGAGAAATGTAGCACTAGGAATCATTATAAGTATTCCTAGTTTACTCGTTGTCTGTAGCAACTCGATGAAATGCATTGTTTGAATGTCTTCGGAAGTTGAAACCCAAGTTGGCAAGAAAAAAGTGTGGAAAGTTTCATGGTCTTAATTCGTTTATAATATTTGTATCTTGTTCACACGTATTAATTAGTTAATTTGTAACTCTTCAGGGAATAAAGTTAATGTTCTTTTTTTTTTCTTCAGAAAAGGGTGAGTTTCAGTCCAGTAGAACAAGGAGAGATTCATGAGGAATCAGCAGCACCTCAAAAGTCACTTGTCTATACCAGCCCTTCCAGATAGTCATTTATGCAGAAGCAAGCCATTATTTGTATGTTAGGTGCTTCTGTAACAACTTAGTTTTCTCCTAAAATCTGTAGCCTATATACATAGACATGTCTATACATTTATAGATTATCAGTGCCATATCAGATGTAATTTCCCCCCACTGTAGTCAAATCTGGCAATGTATTTTCTAGAGACAAGTGCTTCTTTAAATGTTTTACTTGAAATTTTGGTCTCTACCTTCTTAAATTTACGAATTTGATCCCTCCACTATTTTGATTATGTAATATTAGACCATTTATTATTAATGTTTATATAACATCGACACGTTCATGCTAATATGACACTAATACTGTTAGTGTTAAGATTTTCTTTAAATATTAAAATTTAATTTAACAGATGAACTTAAAGTTTGACAATTAAAATAATAGGAGATCAAATTCGAGAAATATGAAGAGATGAAAACTTGCAAAATTGAAAAAGTAAGAAATCAAAAGTAAAATTAAATATTTCTAGTATAACCCACATAATCAAGCGCATGTTAACAGTTAAAGTGCCAATAATCCTACCCAAAGCTTTCTTGCAAAGTTATATAACATCAATTAGCAGAAGAAACATTAAGACTGCATAACAAGTGTAAGTATTTCAAAATTCAAACAAGCAATAACGAGTTATTCAAACTCATTTCAGCTTGATAGGATCGATTGCCTAATCCATGGTCTGATGCAATCATTGACATTATTCCATGTCAAATAGTCACAAAGTTCAGACAGATCGTTATTTAGACACCCTACAGTCAAAATTATTTCTAATGGCCTCCCAGAAAGCAGGAATAGCGATGTCATCAGGAACTTCTTTAAATGATGGGAGATAGTTTACATCCACAATTACATGGTCATGAGTACCTTCCTGAATCACAACATCAAAACCAAAAATGGTAAGATGAAGCCTTCTCCTAAGCCAATTTGCAGCATCTGTAACCAACATAAGGTCAATAGACTCATTACTTGTGATACTGTCAGCAGTGGGCATAGATTTTAAGCTATCAAACAGAAGAGGTTTGAGCTCATCACCGCTAGATGATTTCATCAAAATATCGGCATTTGGTATTGACTTCTTGACAGCATAGAAAATCTTTTCACCCAAGACATAAAATTTGTACAAAGTGGATGAATGATCCACATATTCTTGAATAACAGCAGGAAGAGGAACACTTAAATTCTTAAAATCATCAAGCCTGAAAACAATTGCCATCTTATGTGCATCACTGACACCACAAGCAACTTTAGGTTTCACTATGCATGGAAGAGACAATCTAGCTTCAGATAGTCCAGTTGCAAAATCAAATTCATCAAAGTTATCAACCTTACTAAAATGGGCCCCTCTGATGAGACATTTACCTTCAGTGTTCAGTTCTACCAAGCCCAGTAGAACTTGTTGAATTTCTAGCCTATCCAATAAAGGATAGACGTAACTCAGTGGATCAATCACGCATATATCCTGGTGCTGATCCAAATATTTCTGCAACGCTCGCATGTTCTGTGTAAAAGTTGGTTTATTATCTTCAATAGATAATATTTCATCAGTAGCTTTGTGGAGAACTATGTCAACATCCTTCAGCTGAGATGATAAAGATAAATTGGATGTGAGAGGCACGAACATCAACCCCTGTTGAGTAGGAGACAAAGGAAATGCACCCCTCTTTGCAAAATCTTCCACACGCGAAGGCTTCATTGTGTAACCCACAGTCACAGCATTGTTTCCGATTAATTTCTTATTTAAGCGGCATATGGTCAATGGTAACTCTTCTAAGCTTTCAATTTGAAGTATATTAGGATCGTGACATGAACTTTCGCCTCCAACATTCAGAACAACAATAAGCCAATTATAGCGGATTAACTTATTAGGTGAGAAAACCTTATTAGAAATAAGATAAATAACACTCCCATCATCAGTATTACTCCATCCAGGCTTAGCCTCACTTCCAGAGTCATTTAAAGCAAAGCAATCAAGTGAGTACAGATCAGCAGTTCTTTTAAGAATATTCACCTTGTCGTCCATAAGACCCGAGCCATAAGCAATTCCGCTATTGATTTTGGACAGGAAGAGTATCCGGGTGAGAGACTCAGCCCCTGGTCGTAGAATAGATGCAGTTTGATCAACATCACTTTCAGCCAAGAGTACTGATTCATCCAATATTACCCCCCTCACAACACCCATCTGAAAGTGGATGCAGAACTACCCACAAAAAAAATGAAACTACAATTATTACAAGGTTAAAAACATAGAAAGTGGAAAAGTGTGGTGTAGTTATTTCACCACATGCAATATACAAATATATGTAAACTTTAGAATCAATCTATTGAATTAGGTTCACAACGACAGACACCATAAAACCACCCTAACAATTCAGAAAGAGAGAAATCTAGAATACAAGGTTTACTCAGTTTCCATGTTTAGTGCGAACCATTAAATGTAATAACACAACTTCTATAAGATTTTCAGCCCAAGACCAACATAGACTGAAGTTATAATTTATCCAAATAAATAGTAGAAAAATCCTATTTTCCAGATTCCAAGCTTCACAAGACTCCCATTCCTTTTCACCACGACATGAGTAATTCCACAATATGTTTCATTACTCTTCATTTCAATTTAATGTCCAAACCGTTCTAAAAATTAATACCTTTTCCTCAAAATGGGAAATGCCAAGTTTCAATTTTTGACGATCGTTGCAACTTCTAGCTAAAATTCTCGCAGATTTTTTGTACAAAGTGAAACTAGGTGCGTGAAATCGACCAAACGAACATTTGAAAAAAAAGAAAGAAAAACTTTGGAACTGAGCAAGAACAGATGAATCAAACGCAATATAAAACTAGAAAATCCAAACATGCAGGCAAAATTGGAAGAATCAGGAAAAGAAGAACCACGCACCTAGTACAAAGATGCTCTCCCTCCCTCTGATTTGAGAGAATTGGCTCTTCAATTCCTAATTGGAAGCTTAATTTAAGGTTGACGTAAATCGGTGCATTCTCAGATCAGAAGTTTCAAACTTTAATATGCGAAATATGTGAATGTGTTTGGAGAAGACAAAGAAGAAGGCAGCAAAGAAAACAAAACAAAACTAAACTCTTCAAAGCAAAAAGGAAAGCGGCTTCATCAGACTCAGACATCACATCATTCACTCATTCCTGGTTTTAAAATAACAATCATATAAACTCTTAATTTTCCTATATTTTCTTTCAAAAATAGAACTGACCTTTCTGACTTTTTATTTTTTTTAAAGAAAGGTTTTTTTATAACTATTTTATTGGTGATAAATAAAGGTAAAAATGTATTATTATATCATTTTTATTTTATGTTAGAAATTTTTGGAAATATAAACAAATAATATTGTTATTTAAAATGATAGATTTTTATATAAACATTTAAAAGCTAAGATTTGTTTATGAATTAAAATTGACTTAAAAATTAGAACTTTATTTATTATTAAAAATTTGTGGAAACATTTAGGTGAAATTTCTTTCTAATTTTTAAATAGTTATAAATCAATTTTAGTTCACAAAAAAAAATTGTTTATGGTTTTCAGTTTATTCCATATTAGTCCAATTATTACATAATTAGGATAATGATATTTGAAACTTAATTTTATTTTTTTAACTCGTTTGATATTACTATGCTACTTTTCAATTTTTTTTATAAATACAAAAAAAATATTTTATCATTTTACTAAAATGCTCATTTATGATGTTTTCTTCTTTTTAAGTCATGAGTTTATTAAGTTCAAGAACTTAGAGTGAACGGAAAAACCTATTTTCTTTTATTGCGTCACTTAACATATCATCTAATTTGTTCCATCGGGTCGAGAAGAGTTCCATTATTAACCTGATGGCTTGCTAACAATTGGTACATTTGGTAAAAAGATGATAAAAGGATGTTAAGGTATCATTCTTAAAAAAAATATCAAGTATTAGATGATAAGAATTATTCGGTTAAACTATGATAAAGTATTATTCTAAAATGACCAAGTATGATCATATAAGTTAAAATATCATATAAGTAAAAAGATGATAAAGTATTTTATAATTTGTAATATGATGATGAAGTATCATCCTATTAAGGTATCATTCATTAAATCTGATTAAGCTACAGGTAACTGTATACAATTATTTGGTCACTAAATAACAATTGTTATGGTGTCTCAATTTACTGCATCAGACACTCCAACTCTAAAACGTTGAAAATATACATATATAATGTATTGATAGAAAATTAGATATATCATTAAAACAGATATTAACAATAGAGTTGCAAATATATACGGAAAATCATACAACAAAGATTATATGTATTTATAATAATACATAGTTGATTAGATGGGGATGGCATTGGTGACTGAAGGGTATATGACGGAAGCGGGATGACCCATAATTTTACGACCCTTTGCATGGCGGAAGCAATAGACAAGAGCCCCCACCGGCCACTCAACCACCGCCGCCGCCGCAAACGCCACGAACCCAAGTGTCGGCCCCACCACCTTGCACCGGCAAGGGTTGCTCCTCGTCCCACATTCCACGCAAATTGGAACCCCAATTCCGACCATCTTCAGTTGTCTTAGGTTTTTATCTGAGAATTTTGTTGATGATGATGTTGTTTTGTTGTGGAAGATTTTGGATTTTTGCTCATGTTGATGTTAGAGAGGTTGGTCTCCTTTTAAAGTGTAGTGTTGTCGATAGGAATGAGATAAGTTTGGGTTTTGTGATGGGTGGACTTCATGTAGATTTATGAGCCACGTGTTTTACACGTGTCAATTTTCTGCTTGACCTCTTAGACACGTGTCTGTGTTTTTAGGTCTTATATTCTGAGACATTGTGTCCTTACCGAAAGGGGGTTGTAGTTAATCATCATTTCCAATTAATAAATTTTTGAAGTTGCATTTTTACATAATTGAAAATATTTAATTCTCAAATTAAAACCTATTTTGAAGTTTTTAAATAGTAGTATTGTGAAAATATAAATTGTATTTATTTAAATCAGCATGGTATCAAAGATATAAACATCGATTTTTTTTTAAAAAAAAGGTGGGAGACATGCTGGTGGATGTATATAATGAATCATTCCTCAATTCAAGCTTTGTTTTCTTCTACTTACTTCTTCATGCTTCACCAACTTTACATTTAAGATAGATATAGTTTTCTTGAGTTTTTAGCCTTTTTCTTTTACATTGTAAGCAGAAAAACTTGGATTCCTCATATATAGTTTTGAATTAGATTCACTTCAGGGGCTAATGTTGCTCCATTCCTTTGGGCTGATGATATCAATTCCAAAATAAATAATGTTTAGCCCTTTTTAAATATTTACTGAAATTTACTATTATAAATCATAACATTTCATGGGTTTATTTTCACTTAATCGATTTTATAGTTTTTTAATGAATTTTAATTAATAGTGACTTTACTAAAATAAGTGTTACGCGCGTGTTCCGACAATATATGTGCAGTGGAATTGAGTGTACTTTACACTTAGGAGCTGCTAAAAATAATGTTACATTAATTTTTGTATTTTCTTCAGTGTTGTTAAATTGAAGAAAATAAGGTTAAGGCTTTTCAAGAAACCATGAATGTGACTATCAATATTGTCATTATAACACAGAATATATTTTAATACATACATACATATATATATATATCATCTGAGGCATCCAAACTGTAAGTCTAACCATTTTTTCTGAGTTATTTACAGCATTCAAAATAAAAGATCACTCAACAATTTCATTCTATTACTGCTAACTTTTCCATAGCATCAAGTAACATAACACATTGGCCAAATTAAACAATATGTGGCTTCTTAACTAATAAACTTAGGTCTGTTTTCATAAAAAAATAGATGTACATTAATGAAGGATGAGTAAGATAAGGCTAATATGTGCCTGGAAGATTGGTTCATACCATTAACAAAAACCAGTAATATATTAAGATTCAAAATTTATATATATTAACCTCAGAAAGTTATTGTAAGGAAAAAAAAGAGTTTGAGTTGGGCCAGAATTTAAATGAGACAAAGATGGAGTTGGAGCTGATGATCACTCATAATGGACTCTATTCTCTGATTTTTGTCTTCTTCCTCAACCGCTTCAATGTTCTATCCACTAAGATATATATATATTCTCAAGTAAATTTATAGTACCAAATGCAAAATAATCAATGCCAGGGACATGAAACTGAGCATCTGGTACCATCATCTTTATGATCTGTAAAACCAGAATAAATTCGGAGTGTAAAAGTGTGTCTTTATGCAGCAATGTAAGTGAAAAACCAATACACAGATATGCATTATGGAGAGTTATATGGTATATATTTGCAATAAATTTGTATGATATAAAAAATTATAAATTCTTTGAATACATTAAGAATATCAACCTTGTTGCACTTTTAATTTATTACTTGTGACCTCTTTAATGTTATTGACACCCCTTCTCAATCCATGGTATAGTATCGGTATTCTTCGATATTCTATTTTAAATTTGTATGTGATAAATCTGATGTAATGAAACCTTAGACCGTACATCAATTAGAAGTGGCCAAGAATAATCAGAGGTATAAAAGGGATGGCTGATCTCGAACAAGAAAAAGTGCATGAGTTCACTTTTTTAACTCTAAATCGGGCATGTGATTCCTTCTTAATGTTCTACCCCGAACCATTTTTTTTCTTATTATGCAACCTCATTTTGTTTTTAGATAGTATGCATAAATCAAAATGCATATGATCATATATATACAAATTTATGAAAGAGAACACAACAACCCACAAATACCTGTTCTTTTGAGTGGATTTGATAGAGTGGATTTAAGGGGATTTGAGAGGATTTGAAGATAAACTTTTTTGTCGTTTATTTGAGTGAATTTAGAGGTAAATGAGAGTAAATTTGGAAATAAAATTTATAAGAATTAGTATAGAATTGTATTGACGTGACAAATTAAAAAAATTTATCATACTCCTTGTTGATCTGCGCTCCAAAATAATAAATGGAAATGTTAACTAAAGCCTTCAGCACACTGGTATTTTCAAAAAGATATAGCAGTAAATGAAAAGTAAAAGTTTTCAATGTATCAAATAGTGTGTTTTACATAAAATGTTTTCTATATTTTTGACATAAAAACCTATACTTGGTAAATAATGAGCAAGAACTAGAAAGTGTTTAAATGAAAAGCTGACTTTGCTAATCTGTCTCAGGAAATTAATGCAAAAAGACATAATTTCAAGATACTTCTGTGGCAAGTGCAAGCTACATTATTAATTAATAAGATTCCGATAATTGGTCACATAAGGGGAAGAATAGTGCCAGCTTCCCACTTTATGCAAAGTGAAGGAGGCATTCTATTCTATTGTCAAGAGACCAGAAAAGAAAGATTAATTTCCCTTTATACTTTTCATTTTAAGAGATAATAGTCTATGATTTGCACACGTCAACCCAGAAAAAAAAATGATTTGAACTTCATGTTACGATGTCATTTGAAATTAAACTAAAATTAAATGGGTTTAAAGGTTTCATTTGCTTTCCTGCCAAAAGAATAACGAATCGTTGAGAGATCAAGTCTCAGTTCATTTCTTGTTTCTCTTATCTTTTGTAATATATTATGATATGATTTGGTCACGATCGAATACAAAACTACTGTTTTATGTTGTAAGGGAAATTACAAGGTAGAAATTCCTTATACATTTTAATTTTAGTTTTCGTAAGATTGTCCACTACACATATATAATAAGTCATGCAATGGCCATGAAAGTAAAAGAACAGAAACAATAGAGTTAGAGAAAACTATGGTGCACTTGTTGCCTGAATCTGATCACCTTACCTTATGCAAAAGGCAAATATTCTTATGCACCGTCAAAAGTGTAGGGAATAAAGAACCCACTATATTGCTGTTTGCCAGAAGGTATTTCGAACATATAATTGTACAAAGAAATTAACCCTCCTCAGAAACTGAAGTTTTCTCAATAAACTGTCCAGAAAGTTCATACAAGATTGACCGTTCTAATTTACAAGGTCCCCTACACTTACAACAACCACATGTAATTCGCTGTCAAACAGTGTTCAAGAACACGTATAACTGAACAAACAAAGTTTGTCTTACCTCAGTCTCATACTATACGCAATTTCAGAAATGACCGAACTTACCTAATGCTAATGAATGATCTTTGCTTATCACAACACTCGTGCACTCTACGTGAGGAGGAGACAACATCAGCAACCCCTTCGTCCCTCTTTACATACTCTCTCTCTCTCTCTCTCATTCGTTTTTGTACCTTTACTTTAGAGAAGTAAATTCCGAGTCCCTACTGCTCATAGAGAATGGCTTCTCCAACACTGAGTTTGAGGCCTCAAAAGTCTACAATAGTGCTCTTTCTTATCTGCATTTCATTTTCATATTCAGTTGAAGAAGTCATAACATCATCTAAGAAGTTAGACCAACCACCGTTTCCCCCACCAGCAGAGACTGAAATCAAGTGTGGATCATGTCCTTGTGGAGACACCTGTGGTGAGCAACTTCCACCACCTCCACCATCAACTCCACCTCCTTGTCTATCTCCACCGCCACCACTACCATCACCACCACCTCCACCACCACCGTCGCCACCGCCTCCTCCTAAGTATCCCACATGTCCTCAGAACTGCAACCCCTTGCCGCCGCCACCGCCGCCAAGATTCGTATACGTGCCTGTGCCAGGTGTTCCAAAACCATATACTTGGGTATATTACTACTCTGGTGCTGAAAACAGAGCTGTGGGATTGCTTGTTTTGGCTGGTTTGGGAGGAATATCATTGGCAACGCTACTTTTGGATGACATCATGAAGCTAAATCTATGCTTCTGAAAATCAGTTTAGTCTTAACGTTTGATCCCTTCCTTATTCTTGTTCAGATTATTTTTTTCCATATTCAGTTTAATTCCCATGCCCTTGTTTTCTCTTTCCTGGTATTAACTTACATGAAAATTGATTCTGATATGTCATGCACAATAATTTAAAATTTATATTAGCTGCAAAGACTTTATCAGTTCAGGATTTAGTTCAGGCCGGATGACCAGGTTATAATATGTATGATAGTCCAATTTTGGGATATCTACTATTTTCAAGAGTTTCTTTGACAATTGGTTTATGGATTCTCCAGTTCATTTATGCGTGAAACTTCCCTTTATGGCCCAAAGATTAGTTGTTACAATCACATTTTCTTCCCCTTCCTCTTTCCTTTTCTAATTTTGTTTACATTATTTACGCTTTTTTAACATCGTGGCAACTTCGATCCGCACCAAAGAAAAGTTACATAGTGTTTGGATAATTTTCTTTTCAGAATACACTTGTAATATTTTTATAAACTAAAGTTAATTTACATACAAGTTCTAAAGAAACTAATATGGTATGTTTTATAAATTAACTTGATTAAATTACTTTCAATGTCAGATTCCTCTGTTATTTTTCATAAATATTTTGAAAACTTTGAGAGGTGCTCTTTGAGGTTATTTTGTTGTCGGGTACATGAGGGAATTGGGAAAAACCGGTTTACATAGAAAGCTATATCACGTCTACCTCGATTACAAAGCACATAAAAGAAAAAGTGGAACTTCGTCACTAACATACCAGTTTTCAAGCCTTATTTAGCATTCAAGGAGAAAATTTGCTATTGTTAAATTG